CTTCACGTGTTGATATTTGTAACGGAGAGTTCTGAACGGGACTTTTGTGGATTTCGCAGGTTATTGGACGTCTCGAACTTGGAGGTCCAAAATGCAGTGGATCAGCTTTGCATCACTGGAAAGAAGTGTGCAACTCTCCTCGCAGGCAAATTGCGGAATGGCATAAGCTGCGCGAGTAAACGGTCGAACTTCAACGCGCAATAACCGAAAATGTCGGCAACTAGATGAAAACGGAAAAATGCTTACCTCTCGGGCTGCAGAAGTCTCCCAATTCTATCATGACCTCGATGTTCAGAAACCACAAAAATGTGAATGAACGGTTTTTGAGTAGCATCCGGTAACGTAGGCAACCATTCAACCCGAGGTGTGCCAGAGTGACTTCGTAGTTACCTTTTATTGTTCCCTGTCTCTGGAACTCTCGAGAGGACGCTGAGAGCCTATTTTGGATGTAAATCCTAGTTTCTTGAAAATCTTTGGATTACCTTCCGACGTCGAGAAATGTCTACGTGATCAACCCAGGCAGGTTTCAGTTTTGTTTCATTTTGAAAAATGTTCTTCATTCCGACTAATCACATGGATTGATGCGATACTCAGTCAACGTTTAGTTATACCAAAAATTAGCGAAGAAAAGAAAGTTAGGTGTGTAAGCCTTGCAACGGATCTAGTCGCGACCAGAGATTTTGCGAGCTATGTTTTTCTGGGGATTGGAAATAGCCTCATTTGATGCAATTGAAAGAATGCGGTGTGCGGGAATTATTGCGGGATGCGAGAAAGCGTATATTTTGTGTAAATAGGTTCAAGATGGTGCTTTAAGTTTTATTGCGACGGAGCTTGTAGGGATTCATTGGGATTTAAAAAGTCTGAAAGCGACTTCCCCAATTCCGGATTGCAGCGTTTGACTGCTGAACTCGACGACTGTGTGATCTATGATCTGATTTGTATCGAGGAGTAAGGTAAATTCCCCGAGACGTTAATCATTCTACCTGTTCGTGCTTCTTCGAAAAGAGCACGTGTTTTGTTTCATATTATTATTGATTTATGTAATGACACAGTAGCTTTGGTACCGTCCTAGTCAGATTATCTTATCAAATATCGAACTGGGAGGAATTCAAAGGATCTCATCTAAAGTATTGGTTTCAGTATCTAGAAGATCTCACATTTTATTTAGGATCTTGTGTTGAATTGAAAAAACAGTTATCCGCTTGCCGTTATGTACTGTATTACGTTTTCAATGCCTGTATGTATTCCCGTCTTTGTGGAGCGATGCTGGAAACTTCATAATCCAAGCGGATATTGATTTCCTTCTCTTCTTGGAACTTCATGGAAGTTTTCTTCTGATTTTTTTTTTGGAGGTTTGATGCGTTGAACATTGTTTATTTCTTGGGTACCCGAACTGTTCACTGGAAAGTGTGGATATCATGTGGGTCTTGAACAGTGATTTCCTCTGGTCGAACCGTTTCGGATTCGAACCCCAGCTCTAAAGCGTCATGATCGTTTCTATCCTTGAAAAGTAAAATGTGCTTTAAGATCCTGTACGCAAGTTGACGCGGGAAGATTCATTGCGATATTCCATGATGAACTCATGTGTAATTCGTAGTTCTGGAATGGTTCCCTCGTTGGCCATTCGTGGTACACTATTGAAGTGTAGTCAGTGAACTCTCCCCTGTACGAATCTTTGCCCCGTCTGCAGAAGAAATGTCTTGGTGTCGAATTCCCCTATTTTGGGTGTGCGACTGGGGTGTCGGGAGATTGAAGTTTCCATACCCCCGCATAGGTGTCCCAGTATTATATGGTTGTCAGGCTACCAATGGGCCTAAAGAACAGCCCCAGCATATTCCAAGGATTGATGCATGTTGTATTGGATGGCTGTTTAGGAGATTATGCCTACATTTACCCAGCAAATAATTTTTAAGTTTTTCATGAGTAAAATGCCCATGAAAAACTGTCATCTGTAACCATCACAGGTGATGGTCCCTCAAACCATCAATAATGGGTTACAGGACAGTTATTTTCATGGGTTAATAGGGCATAAAAGTAATGGGAGAAATTGGCATTAAAATAATGGGTATGTAATGGGCTGGTTGAGGGGGTTATTTTAATGGGTATTTCAACCATTCTTAACCCATCATGCAAAATGGTCCAAAATTAAAAAAAAAAAAAAACACAAAAAATGGTGGATATTGGCATGCAAATATCTGCCATTTTGTGCATTATAACAAAGGCATTTTTGCACCCACAGGGTTTTTGTAAAGCAGAATTTTTTTACCCACATGATTCAAAAATCCAGTGAACAGAAACGTTACCATAAAAAAATCCTCAGGGTACAAAAAATTACACTGGTATGGCATTTTTTTCTACCTGTGGGATTTGCTGATGGAGCACTGTGCTGAAACCTGTGTCTCAGAATGTGCATAATGTTAGACATAGTTGTAAACACAAGGCTCCACTGGAAAACCCCCTGGTTACAAAAAGCTGTTGGTCAGCAAACTTTTGCTCAACAAAAATCCTGCCAGTACAACATTTTTTCCATTTAAAAAATCAGTCTCAGATTGATCATCAAAATGAACTCAAAGAATGCTGTTTGTAGAAAAATATTGCTTTACATGTTGTACATGTGGCTGAAGATATTTTTCTACAAACAGAATTTTTCACCTATACAACATGATTCTTTGAGTTGAGGAGCCTTCCATCAGCAAATCCCACAGGTAGAAAAAAATGCCATACCAGTGTAATTTTTTGTACCCTGTGGATTTTTTTATGGTAAAGTTTCTGTTCACTGGATTTTTGAATCATGTGGGTAAAAAAATTCTGCTTTACAAAAACCCTGCGGGTGCAAAAATGCCTTTGTTATAATGCACAAAATGGCAGACATTTGCATGCCAATATCCAGCACTTTGTGTGTTTTTTTATTTTGGACCAATTTTTGCGATACATAAAATAGTTTTCTATACAGACAACAATTTTTCACCTACAATGTGTAATCATTCCTGCTTTGGTAAAATCTCCAACCTCCCCAGATAATGTTGAAAGTTTGTATGGAGACTCATGGAGATTTTTGGACCCTGCTAGATTTTCTGGTCTATGGGAATTTTGGTGGCGGGATTATTTCTCCCAGGGGATTTCATGGTGGAGCCCCTAAAACATAATGCTCATTATTTAACAGAACAGGCAGAGCAAGACAAGAGCTCAACACACTGAAGTTTGTTGTACCCTTCACTGCAATATCCAGTTGGATTAGCAAATATGATTTATCCAGTTCACTTTGACTTGGAATCCCCTATATGAAAACTACATCTCCAAGAATCTTTAATCAACTGCGCCCCAGAATATTAAATCTACTTTGCATCTGGCAAAAATTATGCTCAGATTTCAAAAAGCACAATTTTACACAAATTTAACACCCAAAACTGGGATACAATCCCAAAATGCACCAAATTCCCTTGGACAAGTGATTCTCCTCACGGGAAGACGTCCCTCTCGCCACTGGAGAAACCTCAGTTTCTCCAGTAGTGGCGCGAATTTCCTTCACTGGATGCAGAGTAAAAAAATCAAAGAAGGAAAAATTCCACTGCAGGAGAAACCGCGGTTTCTCCAGTGGCGCAATTTTCCTCTTCACAGCATCCTATCAGGCCAACCGGTTGGCCTTGATGACTTTCTCCTCCATTGGGTGGCCTTGATCTAATTTTTCCATCTCCACAGATTTTTGGGAGAAATCTGTGGAGATGGAAAAAGCAGTGATGCCTAAATAACGCACTCATGATGTGTGAAGTTTACTGGAGTGTTAAAAAAAATGAAATTCAGGGCAGTGTTATCTTGTGATGCCTAAATTACTGTTTTTAACCCTTTTTTAACTGCAGGGCATTATGGAGTCTTCCAATTCACCCATCAAATCACCCATGATGCATCATGGTCTCCAATTGTAATGCCCAAGTATTTGCTGGGGAATTGCTCTGGTTGTTAAGCAAATAAAAATTAAACCCCAGGACCTCCCCCCAAGTATCTCTTGAGGACCAAAATGATCAATACCCAATTGGGAGAAGGGATTACCTTGAAACTTCAGCCGATTTGAATGCAAAGGTGCTTGATAATTTTGAACTAGCTTGGGAGCTAAACTGAAACAATCAATGCACTTTCTTGAGTCTCAATATCCTCATTTGACTTAACTTGGAGTTACTCTTCTCAGAAACTTCCTTCTTTACATTCTCCCAACCATGGAGCAATGTCTGATGCCAAGAAGACTTACAAACCCTGCACTCAATCCTAACTCTGCACTGCTTGATGCTATGCCCTTTATGCCAACATTTAAAACAAGCTCTCAATTCTTGAAGTTTCTTAACTCTATTTTCCAAAGAAAATCCTGCAAATTGAGAACAATCTCTGAGGTAATGCTCACCAAGGCATAACAAACAACCAATCTTAGCCTTAACAGGCTTTTCTGCCCATGAAGGGACATCTTGCTGGAGCTAAAATATGAGCCACCAGAAAGGAGCTGCTCCCCCTTTCCCCAGTCCCACTCCCCAGGCAGCTGCAGTCCCTCTCTTGTGCCCATGCTTGAGAGACTTCAGAAA